CAGCTGATGGAAACATTGTTTTCAATGAATGGTTAGAGTTTCCTTTCTGGGGTGTTTACCTACTGCAATCTCGAATCAGCAAAGGGGATTCTCAAGTAGCTGCTACAACATGGCAATTGCAAGCTCTTTAGTGAAAGCGTGGGTGGCTCTGAAAAGAGCCTTTGGTTTTGAACGCTGCGACTTGCTCCTTATTTGCCCTTGGCCTTGTGGTGGCTCTCGGTCTTCTTGGGCAGCAGCACGGCCTGGATGTTGGGCAGCACGCCGCCCTGCGCGATGGTCACCTTGCCCAGCAGCTTGTTGAGCTCCTCGTCGTTGCGGATGGCCAGCTGCAGGTGGCGCGGGATGATGCGCGTCTTCTTGTTGTCGCGGGCCGCGTTGCCCGCCAGCTCCAGGATCTCGGCCGTCAGGTACTCCAGCACGGCCGCCAGGTACACGGGCGCGCCCGCCCCGACCCGCTCGGCGTAGTTGCCCTTGCGGAGCAGGCGGTGCACGCGGCCCACGGGGAACTGCAGCCCGGCCCGCGAGGATCGCGTCTTGGCCTTGGCGCGCGCCTTGCCGCCCTGCTTCCCGCGTCCCGACATGTCGAACAGAAAACCTCCGCTCAGACCTGGGTCCGAGTTGAATCTCCCGGAGCTGCCCTCTTTATAGTCGCGCCAGGAAGCGAAAGTGAGTCTGTGCCATTGGCGGCAAGTTACAGCCCTTTCACTGAACCAATGGGATCCTGGGGCTGAAATGCACTTTTTTCAGTGGACAACACCCCTGTGACGTTTCCGGGACTCGCCACCGGCCGGACACGCCTTCACTCCCCGCCTCCTTTAAGGAGCCCGGACCCAGAGGACACTCGCAGCCTCACACTTGTCCTTCCAGTCGTTCCCCAGCTTCTTCGGCGCTTCCTCCCGATCATGCCCGAGCCCGCCAAGTCGGCGCCCGCTCCGAAGAAGGGCTCCAAGAAGGCGGTGACCAAGGCGCAGAAGAAGGACGGCAAGAAGCGCAAGCGCAGCCGCAAGGAGAGCTACTCGGTGTACGTGTACAAGGTGCTCAAGCAGGTGCACCCCGACACCGGCATCTCGTCCAAGGCCATGGGCATCATGAACTCCTTCGTCAACGACATCTTCGAGCGCATCGCGGGCGAGGCGTCGCGCCTGGCGCATTACAACAAGCGCTCGACCATCACGTCCCGCGAGATCCAGACGGCCGTGCGCCTGCTGCTGCCCGGCGAGCTGGCCAAGCACGCCGTGTCCGAGGGCACCAAGGCCGTCACCAAGTACACCAGCTCCAAGTGAGGCGCCAAGGCCCCTGTCCAACCCAAAGGCTCTTTTCAGAGCCACCTATATTCTCAGAGCGAAAGAGCTGGTGCGAAGTCGGGCAACAACCTGTCGATCCACTAACGACAAAAATACTTGCTTGATTCTCAAGGGTCTGGGACTCGGTGTCATTTAGTGATTTCCTACATTTAAAAGGGCTCTCTACCGCTTCCCAGGGTGAAGGGGCGTGGGCTAGGGAAATGCTAAGGTCCAAGCACGGCCGGCCCCGGGCCAGGGATAACGTCGGACTCGTTCCTGGGCCGAGGCTGAGCCGGGTTTGAATTTGCCCGGGAGCGCGCGCCCTGCATCGGTCTAGCCATCCAGCCAGCTGCCCGGGAGGGACCCAGCCCCCCTCCCCGCAACCTGATAAGCACTGTGGGGTAGTCCACCTGCTTCCCTCCCCTTCCCCTCCCCTCCCCTTCCCCTCCTCTCTCCTCCCCTTCCCTTCCGCCTTTCTCGTTGTTCCCTATTCAGGAGTGAGACTTCCTCTTGAAATCTTCGTTGAGAGAAACCCTTGCCCTAGTCATATCGTGTTTACACCGCAATTCTTAGACACTCGGGGAGTTAGGCACTTTTCTCCGGGTCTCTTATGTACACACGGGGCAGACAGGGTCATAAATATCGGCTTGCTTTCTCTTGGAACTCTCCTTTATGGCAGGGCTCTCGGCTTAGAACTCAGGAGGGTAGAGGGGAAATCATTTTTCTTCCCAGAACCCTGATCTGCCTAGAAAGCTAAACCCTCAGGGCCAGGCACGGTGAGTTCTATCCTCGGCACAAGCAAGGCCTTGAGCCAGAAAGGAAAGTGACGTGTGTGTCTCAGAAGCTGGTCTGGTTTCGGATCAGAGCTTTGCAACTTTAGGAAGGTGGAGGGTGAGGGACTTAAAAAAGGGAAATGCTGATAGGGAAACTTGACGAGTTCATGTTCTCCCTCACATCCTTCCTATTAATAGAATGAAAACCCTAAGAACATTTCTGAGGCAAACAGAAATGTAATGTAACTGCGGAGGGAGAGGGGAAGTGGCCCTTCGGGCACTGAGGTTCTTCAGAGGGGTCCCTCCTCCCCAGCAGGTGAAGTCTCGGTGACAGCCAGGAGTGCCTCAAACCCGGACGGTGCAAAGAAGGCTTAAGGGGCCTCAGCCGCCAGAAGGGGTAACAAAGAACTTGACCGCAGAGCAAGTACCAGGGTGAGTTCACCAGTGACGCGGCCATTCCTGCATCACTTGCTCGCTGCGCACATAAAACCTTTCCTTCCAAAGCCGGGGCCTTGCTTCTCTCTGACTCACCCCAGGACTTCACCAGAGGGACCTGTCAGCCTGAGGACCTTGACTCTCGCTCTGATCTCCTGAGAGAGTGTCTCTGGGGCCAGAAAGAGGATGGGGACCAGCTTCCGCCTATATCACCCCAGAATGCTTGAGTATTTCTCCCCTGAGATCAGAAGCCGGAACCACAGAAAACTCTGGGGTGGCTTCTTGAGACCCCCACTTTCTCGTGTGCAGAAATCAGACTCTGAAGGGCACCTTGAGTTCCCTTTGTCACTTTTTGGAATTTGTCAGGAACAGAATCAAGGGCATATTACTGGGATTTAACTTTTTGGCAAAATAGAAACTTTGGTCATAGCCATAGTTCTATACAAATGTCTTAGGTTATTTCTGATTAAGGTATTTTTAGAAAATGATACAAAACAATAACAAGAAAGTAAGCATCTTTGTATCTAGTGTAAGAACAAAAATTCCTTACCAGCATCTTACTTTAAATACAGCAAAAGAGTCGGTAGAGAAAAAGTAAAGTCATATTAGGGCCTGAAAAGAGTGGTGAGCGGCCAGGACTGATGAAGAGGGAATCCATCCTGCTGGCAACCAGGTTGGGAGAACACACTGAGAGAGCTGGCTATGACGTTACATGGATTGTTTCTCCAAGGTTATTTACAGCAGTCATCTCCTTCAGGGATTTCTTGTTTCTTACCATAGATGCCTCAACCCACTTTGCTGTACACCACCATTATTGGGGGGGGGGTGCTAATTCATAAACCCCCCGTCTCCTGACAGCACCCAATACTACTCGGCTCCTCCTAGTCCCCTTGGGAAACCCGGACTGATCTGGGCTTCCTCCAGAGTCTCCTCAGAGGAAAGCCAGACAATGATAAGTAGTGAACTCACTGGAAAAAAACTTGTGCTTTTAAAGACAACTCTGGGAATATTGAGATGTGTGTGTCATAGATATAAAAATTGGAAACAGATGGGCAAACCAGGAAACTGTTATACTAATAAGATGAGATATGTAATGGATGCTAAACGTGAGAATTCTAATTATGAGTTGGTTGAAAATAAAAGCCCCCTCAAGCAAACAATGTTACATCAGGTAAAACTGAGGGATATTCCCAAAAACCTGTTCTAACAGAATGCAAGAATGACCACTTATGAAAGGGTCAGGGAAGTGCTCAGATCATAGTGACTGAGGATTAGTGTTGCTCAGGTCAAGGTCAGGGGGCAAATATATCCAAGAGACTTTTGAAAGTACTTTTTAGGAGATTTACACATTAAAAACCACACAGTCGACGAGGGTGGGATTCGAACCCACGCGTGCAGAGCACAATGGATTAGCAGTCCATCGCCTTAACCACTCGGCCACCTCGTCTCCACAGGCCAAGTCCCTGGAGCATGTCACTCCCAGATGGAGAAGCTCTTGGATGGAGAGGCTCTGGGATGGGGCCTGGAGATGTCGGGGAGGTGGGGACTTGGAGACAGCTTCATTCCCTTCGCATAACAGAGAAGAACCCGAGGGGGAAGCAAGGACAAATCAGCTGGGATGCGATGGAAACACATGTGCGAGGCCTTTGCACCTTCCCCGAGTTCAAGAATGTTCTCTGATGATAAAATTAAATTAAAATCAGCAACAGAAGGAATATTGAATCAACAATCCATGAGTATAAAAGAAATCAGAAGGAGAATGTAAAAAGAGCGTTTTGGGTTGAATAAAAGAACCTATAATACATCAAAATTGTGGCCTTTCATTAAAGCAGTACTTACACAGTATTTATATCCTTAAATACCTGCATTAGAGAAGAAAGAACTCAATTGAGTAACCTAAGCTTCTATCTTTAAGAACTAGAAAAAGATGAGCAAACTAAACCCAAAGCCAGTACAAAAAAGGAAAGAATAAAGATTAGAGTACAATCAATGAAATGGAAAACAGAAAAATAATGATGAAAGCCAATTAAATGAAGAGATGGGTCTTTTGAAAAGCCAGCAAGATGAACAAAGTTTCAGTTAGACTCAACCAGAAAAAAAGAGAGAGACGATGAGAAATCAGGAAGGAAACAGAGAGCATCACTACTGATCTCAAAAAAAAAAAAAATTGAAAACATCATAAAGGGATAAATAGTATGGATGTCACGCTAACAAATTAGACAACTTCGATGAAATGAAAAATTTCCCAGAGCTAGGGGCTGAGAGGAGGGGGGAAAGGGGGAGGGAGGTGGGAGATACCTGTAATACTATCAATAATAATAAAAAATATTTAAAATTTTCTCAGAGGATGTAAATTATGGCAATGAACACAAGAAAAAAATAGAAAATCTGGACAGACAAATAATACGTTTTTAAGATGGAGTCGGTAATTAATACTTTCAAAAAAAAAGAAAAGCTCAAGCCCGGAGGAAAGCACTGGGGAAGGGTTGCGCGCTCCGGTGGGAAAAGATGCTCCAGGCGAGGCTCGAACTCACAATCTCAGCATCACCCGCGCACGCACGCCCCGTAAATACCGCGCGCTGACCGATTGCGCCACTGGAGTGCCCGCCCCCACTTCCGGTCACTGGTTACTCAGTCCGGCGTTCGGCTCGGGTGGCTGGGGCCCCGGAGCCTGGGGACTGGGTCCAGCCGCGGGGCCCCCGGGCCACTCCCCCTGCCGGCACGGAGCCGCACCTGCTCCCCGAACGAGGAGAGGACACTTCCAAGGCGACCGGGAGGCCCCGGTGCGGGCCAGCCTCCTGGGGCTGCGCGGGTCCCGGAACCCTGTTGTCCGGGGCTCCAAGCGCCCGGGGGAACCGGAAGTTGGCGACGGGCTCGCGCACTTTCGTTATTTTTCCCTCCGGAAGTTAAGAGGCCCTCTGCTCCCAGGGGTTCTGGTTGCGACCTGTGACCCCGGGTCCGGGAGGAACCAGGGGTGGAACGGACAGGGCCTCCCCAAGCCTCTCCCCAACGGCGGGAGGCGCCGAATTCCCCGCGGACCCGGGAGAAGGGCCAAGGTCTTGTCTGCTCTTGGGGCTCAGGTGAGGGGTCAGCAACCGGGGGCCGGAAGTGCTGTTCCGGGCCAGGCGTCCCTCCTGCGGGTGGGCCGCGGTCCGGACTAACCGGCGTCCCTGGGCGGGCCTGCCCCCTCCGCCCACCCGCTTTGTTTTTCATTTCAATCTGCTTCGTGTAGGCTTCCCGCCAGCCCCGGGGTCGTGTTCGAGACACGAGAATCCAGCAAGTAGTCCCCTCAGAGACCGTGTAGTCCAGCGTTTCTCGTCCCGACCTGTACGTTAGCACAGCCTGGGGGGCTTTTAAAAAGAATAGTAACGATGTTTGAAAAGACATGGCTGGAACCAGCCCGCGGATTCTGATTTAATCGGTTAGAAGTCAGGGTTCCTGTTTGTTTGTTTGTTTGTTTGTTTTAAATGATGGTTACATTTTATCATGGCTTGACCATTTTAGCCAAGAAGTTAACAAGCAGTGACACACACGGCTGGAGCAGAGTGGCTCCGCCGGACGCGAAGATAAAGCTGCTCTGTCACCAGTTCCGTAAACCTGCCCAGTCGCAGTGAGCGAGCTCAGATCTGGACTTGGGTCAGTTCAGACAGTTAACGCTGTTCACCTTCAGTCGGGGACCCAGAGTATGTAGGTGTCCCTATGAGCAGCTTATGCAAGGACAGTGTCGAAGGGGCACCCGTGGCAAACCCTTGGCCACGCCACGGTGCTCGAAACAGGGACAATAGTAGCACGAAGTAGCTGATCACAGATCGTAACGATGACATACTGCAGGAATGACTCAAATGTGACACTGACGTGAAGGAGCAAATGCTGTTGGGAAAATAGTGCCAATGGACTGGCTCCAGGCTGGATTGCCACAAACCTTCCTTGTATAAAAGAGGCAACAAGCTATCCAGTCTTGTGCTGCACTTTATTATGCTTTGCAGATGTTACGTTCTGATGTTGCTTTCACTCCTGCTAACACAGCATCCATCCTGCAGCTTTTGTAACAAGAAGTAATTTCAAGGGAGGAAAATAATTTCAACTTTCAAGTCTTATTACTTAAATGTTTTTGTAATCCTATAGCTGTTAGAGAGCAGGCAGCATTTTCAATCATGTGAGCAGTGTGTTTGCAAAAGAAAGGAGTTAGTTTCTAGCCCTTTAGGATCTGAAATGTCAAATTTTATTACATATTTTAAACTATATGTTTTGAAAATTTTCAAACATATGGGCATTGACATAATTAGATCATGAAATCCCCTGTAACCAATCTTAGAATCATCAACATTTTGCCAGTTTTGTTTCCTCTCTTTTCACTATGTTTTTTGTGGAGTGGGAAGGTGGGGGTGGGAAAGGGAATAATTTAAAGTTAAACCTAGAGCTATTGTATCATCCTAAATTCTTCAGTTTGTATGTCTTAGAGATAAAAACTTTATAGTATATAATCCTCTCTAATAAAGAGGGAATATGCTACTTGGCCCTCACAAAGATGGCGGCACCCACAGCCAATGAGAGAATATGCTAATTGACTCACACCCTCAAAGATGGTGGAGTCCAGTCCCCTTAGCCCCGCCAGGGCAGCAGGCACACCTGCCTCTGGAGTCCCCCAGTCCCCTCAGCCCCCCAGCCACCCAGGGCTGCCCGAGGCTCAGGCAACCAGGGCTGGCTGAGGCTTGTGCTGCCGACAGTGGCAGCAGCTGAGGTGTGATGGGGGCATAACCTTCCCCTGATCACCAGGTCACCTCCTGCCCCTGAGGGCTCCCAGACTGTGAGAGGGGGCAGGCCAGGCTGAGGGACAACCCCCTCCAGTGCATGAATGTTCATGCACCAGGCCTCTAGTATTTATATAAGTGCAACACCACTACCACATTCAGCAAATGAAACAGTAATTTCTCCCTCCCTCCCTCTTTCTCTCTCTCTTACTATAAGAAGTTACTTGGCCAAAAAGTAATTGGCAAAACTAGTATTTAAATGAAGGTTTCCTGTCTCCAATTTCTCCTTGACTCCTTTCCCAAGCCATTTTAAAGAAAACAAAACAAAACAAAACAAAAAAACAGTCGTATCATTTTAAGGGGCAACTTAAAGTTGATGTGGAGTAAGTAATTATGTTTTTAATGTGTGGATTGAGAAGTTGTAAATAAGAGTAAGGGACCAATGTTGACAGTTGAGAGTTTGCTTTTAAATATGTTTATAGTTTCCATCTGTTCCTTTTTTGACATCAGCAAAAATCAGTTTGTCCACTTGCTTTGTTTTTCTGGGTCAGTTCAAAGTTCAGGAGAAAATAAGGGTTCCCACCAACCTAGAGATTTAAACATATTGCCTTGAAATGTTGACTCTCCCTGAGTCTCCTGGCTGGGTTTCTGTGTGCACATGATTGTCAAAAGTACTCTCTACCTTGTTGAGTTATTTCTTATTTCCTGCTGTGAATATTCCTTGTCTCCCCAGCCAATGCCATTGCCACGCTGTCGTCATTCAGTAGTACAACTGATCAACACATAAACCTATAGTGCTCAGCTGGCACTGCACTGCTGTTGCACACGCCAACATCCTAGTCAATCCTGGAAATGCGAGGGCAAAGTATATACCCAGTGGAGGAACCTAACTGTTCCTGGATCATTCACTCATTCCACAGATATTTTTGCAACACCTGCCTCTTGCCAGTGAAGTTGCAGGTGCTTAGACTTCATACGTGAATAGAATAGACAAAGTTAATCCTTGCCTTCCCACAGCCTACATTTAAGAAACACCTAAACAGAGGTTCTTAGCAACCCTCTGCTTCTTGGTCTCTATTTTTATTCATTTATTAATTCTTTCATCAACAAACATGCCAAGTGTTCACCCTTGGTCAACCAGTGTGCGAGACAATAAGGCTGGGTCAGAGGGCATCCCATGTCTTGACACCTTCTAGTGAAGGACGTAGTATGATCCGCTGTGCCCTTCACATAAAATCTGTTTCTACTTACACCTTCCCAGTTAGTTCCTGATTAGCCTGTATTCTTTCTCACGTGCCCTTCAGTCTTGTACAGGAATAGGGTGAATGGGCCCATTTGGTATTAGAAGCTAGAGCTAAGGACACAAGCCATAACTTGTGAAGTGTACATGTGCCGAGGAACACAAAGGCATTACTAGGCGGAGGGGCATGGGACATGACTCATTTTTTAAAAAAACAGGGGCTACAGGGTAGGAGCTCACATTTTTTAGGAGGCAGGTCACATATTTATGATGTCACTAAACGTTCCTGCCAATGGAACCCATGAAACAGGAAGAGACCACAGTGTTCTGTGGAGAAGGCCAGGATGGGCCTCCCCATAAAAAGGCGCTGCTACAGAAAACAGGGCATCAAAGGATGGAAGCTGAAACCAAGAGGGTCAAAACAGAACTAAGACAAAAGGTTCGCTGGAGTCAGGACCAGCAGGAGAAAAGCATGGCTGTGATTTGAGGGGAATGACGAGGAGGAGGCATGCTGAGGCTGCATCCAAAACTTTTACTTCGCTTGACATCACCAAGGGATGTACTTGGAATGTGCTGTGGTTTTCCCCCCTTTTCTGTTAAGAAATACTTACGGGGCTCCTCCTACATGTAAGGACTGTGCCAAACGTGGGAGATGATGGAGTCGGACCCAAGGGACATCTAGTCTAGGTGGTGGGACAGGGCCTGTGGGGAAGCACAGCAGCAGGGCAGGCTGTGGAGGAATGTGTGCGAGGGGTGTGCCAGACGAGATGCAGAGACCAAAAGAAGGAGCTTTCCATCCCGCTGGCGAGGGACCCAGGTCAGCCGGCGGCCTGGAGAGGATCTGGTTAGGGGACAAGGAGGAGGGGAGCCTGGGAGCCGAGTATGAGAAAGGACCAGAGGGTTGGACTTGTCTGGGGAGAAATCCCAAAGGGAAACGAACTCATATACTGTCCCCCCCCCCTTTTTTTTTTTCTAGTCAGCACCCTTCTGTATGAGATGTGGGATAACTAAGCCGTACCGCATTCTGGTCCTCACCTGCACGGTCACGGGTCGGCCCTCCTGTGGTGGGCCTTCAGCCTGTCCACCTGGGCGAGGGTGGACATCCCTGACGGCCCCCGGGTCCTGTTCAGCGCGCTGTTTGCCATCTGCAGTGATGAGGTCAGGTGCTGGGTTCCTCCATCCAAGTCATGTAAGTGCCGGCATTGAAAGGGAGGGCCCTGCTCCAACCTGTCCCTTCCAGGAAGTTCCAGCCTCTTTTTCTGCCCTGGTCTCATGGGTGGAGCAGTTATACTCCGCTCAGTAACAGTGGCTCATTTCCAGATGGGCCAGGGGGTCAGGCCTCTGGGGTGACCAGCTCGGCCAGAATCGCTGTCCTGGACCTTCTGGCACGTCCCTCAAGCCCTATGCTTCCCACCTGCTGCCACCGGTTTCTTCATCAAAGTCCCTGCACTGCTTCCTTTGTATTGTGGGGATTCAGACCCAGGAAGGAGGGAACCCTAGAGGGAGCTGCTGGCCTTTCTCCCCTCTCCCTCCCTAATTCAGACTGCTTCATATTTGGTCGAATTTTCATGATCAGCGCCCTTCTTCTCTCCTTCTTCCTGAACATCACAC